AGATACTTCATGGCCATCTTTACTTCTTCTTTTGAGAACTCTCTGTTCAGCTCCTTGGCCCATCTTTTAATTGGGTTACTTCTTGTCTTGATTCTCTGTTGTTTGAGTTTGTTATATGCTCTGGATGTTGAACCTCTGTCAGATGTGTCACTGGTGAAGATTTTCTCCCATTCTATGGGTTTTTTTCTTCACTTCCCTCATTGCCTGCTTTGATGTACAGAAACTTTTTAGTTAAATGAGGTCCCATTTGTTAATTCTCGCCCTTGTTTCCTGAGCAATTGATGTCTGGTTTAGAAAATACTTCCCTACACCTATATATTGTAGGTTTTTGCCAATGCTTTCTTCTAACAGTTTCAGAGTTTCAGGCTTTACATTGAGGTCTTTGATCCATTTGGAATTGACTTTTGTGCAAGGTGAAAGATAGGGGTTTAGTTTCATTCTTCTACAGGTGGAGATCCACTTTTGTCAGCACCATTTGCTGAACATGCTGTCTATCCTCCAGTGAATATTCTTGGCACCTTTGTCAGGTGACTGAAATTCCTTTTACTCATATTTGGGTCTTCGATTTTGTTCCATTGATCTATGGGTCTATTTTGTGCCAGTACCATGTAATTTTTATGACTACAGCTCTGTAATACAGCTAAAAATCTGTTATATCAATCCCCCTGGTGTTGCTCTTAGTGCTCAGGGTTGATTTGCCTATCCGAGGTCTTTTGTGCTTCCATATGAATCTTAGGATGGTTTTTTCCAATTCTGTGAAAAATGTCATGGGGATTTTGATTGGCATTGCATTGAATCTATATATGACTCTTGGTATGATGGTCATTTTCACAATATTAATTCTTCCAATCCATGAGCATGGGAGGTCCTTCCATCTTCTCATGTCTTCTTCAATTTCTTTCTTTAAAGAGTTAAAATTTTCTTTGTAGAGATCTTTAATGTCTTTTGTCAGGTTTATTCTGAGATATTTTATTTTATTTTTGCAGCTGTTGTGAAGGGGAGTGCTTCCATGTGCTCTTTCTCTGATTCCTTGATATTGGTATATAGAAAGGCTACAGACTTTTGTAGGTTAATTTTGTA